GAGTTAGGTTTGGTTTGTTCAATGAACTTAATTTGATGTTCAAAGTTAGTAAAGATTTTTATAATTATTCTTTTTTTATCAATAATTTTTTGACATAAGTTATCAATAATATTCTTGAATCATCCGTAAAAGTTGATTTTGACAATCATGCAATCTCGAATATCAACACGTACAAAAAAATAAGTTTGAATTTAAACTACTCATCTTCCAGGGATAACCGGACAGTGGAGTTTTTGCACATGAAACTGGAAAGTTTATACAGCATGAAACAATTGAGTTTATTTGCGGCCTCCAGCGGATTTTTTTTTTCCCGACATAATTTAGAATATTTTTTAAGTCCAGAAAAACACAAAATATAGGTTTATACTTCAATTTTACTTTTTCTTTAAATAATTCACAAATTAAATATCATTTGCAGATCAGGATAGACAGATTCTTTTAAATTCATGGAGTAATTTTTATTGTATAACACTTTAAAGTTATTGTTAAAAAGCAGTATTGTTGCATTTTAAGATAAATATTTATCTTCACTTTTTTTTTGGACTTCAAACAACTATAAAAACAAAATGGTTTCAAAAACTGTTATTGCACTGACCTATATATGTTCTACGCAATATAAATTTACAATTTAAAATTCAAAAATAAAAAGTCAGAAAACGAGTTTTTTCATGCTCGTGGCACACTGTGTATTACCCTTATCTTATCGGCACACTGTGGCACACTGTGTATTACTCTTATCTTATACACGTGGCACACTGTGTATTACCCCTCTTATCTTATTGCTCAATACATGAACTATGAAAGTTAGTTTTCTGTTGAACCTTTAGATTAAAACTTATTTTAAACGTTGGTATTACATGTTTCCAAACAATATTTATTCCAATTATTGATTTAACCTACAAACAAATTTGTTTAAACAAAAATTTATATAAATTTTATAAATTATATAAATTTATATAAACAAAAAGAGCATTGTTATTATGGTTATCTTTATATTTATTTTCGTAAACCGTAAATTTGTTTAAAATTTTACTAGGTATAACAAGTCTTTAAAATTTCCACATAAAAATCAAGAAAACGCTCAATATAATTTAAAATATAGTTTAATATATGGCTCAATATAGTTTTGAAAATAAACATGACATTAACACCAGATAACTTTACAGATTTCAAAAAAAATCAGGATAAAATGTTTTTTTTTGTTTTATAAGATTTTGTTTCATTATAAATGATATAAAATTTAAAATAAAACTTGTACAAAAAATATTTTTAGGAGTGAAAAATAATACTTATTTAATTTACGTTGCTTTCTTCAAGTCTGTTTTTTGTTTTTTATTCAATACTTAGCTTAATTTGCTTCTGACTATAAATGGTTAAATTTACTTCATTTTACTAATGTAAAATATTTTAAACTTCTTATGGTAGTTTCCTTTGAAGTAATGATATCTTACAGCATATCTTAAAATCTCTTTAGACATCAGAATGTGATATTTAAGTTTTCAATTTCAAAAAAAAAAGTTTTTTCAGTTTTTTCACCCTATCGTATAAGTTGTATGAAAAAAACATAACGGCAAATAATATGTTTTTTTCGTGGGAGCCGTTGTCTCTAAGAATCAGACATCTTAAAGAAAAAAAATACTGAATGTCACCAATTCCGCTATTTTTTACATATTTGCTTTGTTTAATAGATGCAATAATAAATACAAAATATTTTGGTCTAAATACTTGTCGTTTGGAAATGACGTCGTTTGGCCATGGCGGTACTTTAAAAATCGGTCGAATATTAGTCAATTCGCTTATTTTGTATTATGTCATACTTTATGAAGTTATAACTGAAATATTCTTTATTTTAATATGTTTTGTCAATTTACTTATAACAGCTAGCTACAAGTTTTACAAAAAAAATAAAAAATAATAAATAAAAAGTTCTTCGTTGCGTAACTATGGATCTAATCTTCCATTAAAAAAATAAAATTGCGCAAGGTTGGATTGGCATCTCAAAAAATCAGCCGTGAAAAACATGTTTTAGAAAAAAATGTCCTAATTTTAGACCGGTATAAAAACTGAAGTCAAAAGACGTGTCCGAACTCTCTAAAAAAATTTGAAAAATGAATATAAATCTTAATTTCTTCATAATATATACATATATGTAATAAATACTTTATAACATATAAAAAATAGTAAGTCAGTGGTAGAATAAATTGAATCAAAAATATTCTACTTATTTTGTACGAAGAAGAAGAAGCTGTTTAAAATAACGTTAGCTATATCAAAGTTCATTACAGATACATTGAAATCTTGGGTTTATTGGAATAGGTGGCGTAATTTGACATAAAATTTGATCTTCCGTGTAGTTAAAGACACCTTGCCCAATATCAAAGTATCTCTACAATTTCATATGTTTGGCAAAATACTGTAATAAATAATACGAACTGACATTCTTGATAGCTTCACCTGATAACGATATTTTATCACCATTAATTCTTAATTCTTTCTTACCAATTATAACCAGGAAAAGAAAATGCGATATCAGACAAAGTTTACTTATAAGCAATGTGTTTATTTTTTTGTGTTGTTATTCTTCTTGCTAATTCATTGTGTTTTGTTGAATCATGAGCTCTTAATACAATTACTGACTACTCAACACATGACCAAAGTACTGTAATTAACAATTTATTTTTTAATTAGTTTCCTTAATAACAATACACAGAGGAACAGTGGCGGATTAAGTCTTCTTGGGGCCTGGGGCTATTTTTTTTTTTGGAGGCCTTTTTATGGGCCAGAGCCTAAAAATGATGCAAATTTTTTGTTTCAATATATGTTTTGATTGCAAAAAGGTATTTACATCAAACTTTGCAAGCTAACCAATAATGGTGCAATACATGTTCTGAACTAAAAAAAGGTTAATAAATCGAAATTATAACTCTAACTTGCGCAATTACATTAATTCGGGTAATTTTCCCTAAAAAGAAGTACAAAAATGCATATAAAAATAAGAAAAAATTATTAATAATAATAACAATATTTTTTTTAGTTCAGAACATAGACTTTAATGTAAAGAATGAATCCTTAAAATTTTAATAAATTTGACAAAACAGATTTTAAGTTATTTAGGATCAAAGTAAAAAAAATGTGAATTTGAGAAAAACTTATTAAATAATGAAAACTTATCTAAACAATTACTGTAAAATCTAAAAAGTTCCAGAAGTATACATTTCACCTTCTGTAGCAATATTTCTATCATCGAAACTATTTTTTTTTGGCCCTGAGCTTTTAGGATAGAAAATTAAGATAGGAAATAAAATAAGTTCAGGTATCACCCTGGTTGCTGAGACCGTTGCTACGGAACTTAAAAATTATAAACATTTTCAAATGCTAAACTAAACTATTTTAGACAATGTTTAGTCTAATTTTTATCTTATTTTCAGAATCAGCAATGTCGAATTAACCAGAAAAAATGATAATTTAAATTTTGAAAATAATGTAACTACGCGCTATATTATTTTTTTAATTAAAGACTAGACCCACAGCTATGTTCAATAGTTACGGCTTCCTAAAGTTCGTATTTTTCTTAATTTTTGTACTTTTAGACTATGGTTTCTAGACAACGAAGAACTTTTATTATTATTTTTTTATTTTTGTAGTAAAACTTGTGACTGGCTGTTATAAATAAGTTGACAAACTTACTAAAATAAATAATATTCCAATTATAGCTTTATAAAGCATGACCCAGAAATAAAAGTTCTATAGAATTTTTATAAACTTTTAAAACATATGGCCTATAGAAATTCTGTAGAATTTCCATAGAATCTCTGTTGATTTCTATAGAAATTCCTTTGGAACTTTTTTTCTATAGAAAAAAACTTTTATAGCAATTTCTATAAAAATTAATAGACATTTAATAGAAATTCTATAGAATTTTTATTGGCCATATGTTTCAAAAGTTTAGAAAAAAGTTTTATAGAACTATTTTTCCATGGGATATAATACAAAATTATCAAAAAGACTAAAATTCGTCTAATTCTCAAAGTACCGACGTGGCCGAACGACAAATATTTAAGCCAATATATTTTGGATTTGTTATTGTATCTATTATTTAAAGCCAATATGCGAAGAAGAACTAAATTGGTCATATTCAGTATTCGCAACTGTCTTATTCTTAAAGGGAAAAGCTCATAAGAATTATACATTGAACATAACAATACTTACAGGTTATATTCAATGTCTAATTCGTATGAAAAATTGGTAAATAAAACAGTTCAGCTATTACATTTTTTTAACATAATCTCTACTTAGGGGCGTACGCGACACTTTTTGATGATACTAAATTGACATTTTTAGGCCTTATGCTAACTCTAAACTTAAGTACGCTTATGTTTATGTCAAATGAAAAATATTTTGTATAAAACCGCGGTGGCGGTTATTAAAGCCTGGGAATAAAAATACCATAAAGAAGTTGCACACCCTACCCTAGAATGTGAGGCAATCAAATAAAAACTTTCTTTTTAACTTTTTTTTTATGTAGTATTTTAATTTTATATAATAATCATTTAGCGTTCAAAAGAAAAAGTAAAAAATTGTAAAGTTTGTAAAAAACCATATAAAGTTTCCACCCTCCCCAAAATAAGGAAGTTGCTCACGTATGAAAGTGTTTGATTATTTTTATATTTATTTGTTAATTTACAAACATCCTTTTTATACATTTCTTCAAATTTCTTTAAAATATTTTACGTTAAATATTACAAAAGTTTCACAAAAATTGATAAAAAACTATACAATAAATAAAAATAACTTTTTTTTTTTATTTTTCTACCCTGCCAATCAAGGACATGTGTAAAAAATGGATTTTAAAATATTTGCCAAAAACATTTTAATATTAGAGCAATATGTAAATATGTTTTTATGTTCGAGTATTTTTCAACAAAAGTTTAGTGAATCAAGCATAATTTTTGAGTAGTGTCACTTTTTAAACATTTTCTGAATCATATTAAAACACCTAAAAAAACTAAATTTTTGCAATTAAGATGTTCTTGATTGGCAACGCAGTGTTGTTTAAACAAATAGTTAAAAATAAAACTTGTTCTTAATGAAGTAACATTAACCGTAACAAAGTAATATATATAATTATTACAAAGTATTATTCGTAATGTATAACAGCAATATTATTAGAACTTGGTAATGCTGAAATTTGTTTAGTCGGTAATTTGTAAAACTTATATGCAAGAAATAGAAATATAGCTGCAAGAAACTTAACAATAACAGCAATTAAAAATAAGTTTAATCTAAAGAAATAAATACATTAACATAAATTAACATAAACTAGGATTTAAAAATAATATTAACATAAAAATAACAAAAATTCAATAAAACTTAAAAAACAAGTAAATAATAAAAAAATAAAAAATCATTTTACAAAGATAGAATTTTGTTTACTCTAGACAAAAGTAACCAAAAATTTATTTTAACGTCTAAATAATAAATGTACCTAAAATCGGTATTATCGTACTCAAGGCAGTTCGCAGTTTCACCTGTGCATTCATCTTTTTCCCATAACTTGCAACTTGAATCTATTAGTTTGCCAAATATGGTAGGAGCAGGAATAAATCCAAGAAATCGAACAAAAACTTGTTGAAAACCCATAGCAAAGGACCCTAGATCAGCTGGTACAACTCTAAGCAAAAACACATAACTTATTGTTATTGATTAAATATTTCTAACCATAAATCCTCCCAAGGTGTTGAGTTTGCTAATGCATGCAAACTTATACTTGTTTGATCTTTCTAATTTAAATTAACGAAATTTTTTTTTACAATTTAACGACAGATCCAGAATTTCCTAGTAAATGGGGTTATAGTGTTGTGATTTTTTGACCAAAATTTAAGATAGAAGTTCTAAAAACAACCACATAAATATATAGAAGATTAAAACTTTAAAAAGATGTTTTTCTCAAAACTTCTAAATTTATTGATTAAGTACAGAGGAAGAATTTTCAGGTCTTTTCAATACATGAAAGTGTAAAATGTTTATACTTCCTAGTTTAAGACCAATATTGAAAAAGATTTTATTAAACTCATTGAGAAATAGGATTTGATTCATATATGCTTTTTTTAAGAATGGTAAGAGAGAACTAAATATACCTCCAATAATGCTTCACAAACACAAGTTTATCAGCAAAAAAGGTTTAAGATTATCAAAACTGAGCAGTTTTTAACAAGCTAAAAAATTGATTGAAAAAGTGATTTTGTTGTGAACAAGTTATATCGTAATGAACAAATGACGTTATAATGAAGTTTAAAACTGAATAGATATCATTTTTATCGAACAAGTGTTATTAAAAAAAAAAATTATTTTAATTTAATATATTTTAATTAAAAAAAGGTAACAGACTGGTCGTAAGGATATCTTCAATGTGACCGAGCAAACTATCAAGACCAGATTTATCAGGAATTTTCATATAGCTTAAAGCATTAGATCTACCTGAGGGTAGAAAAGTTTTTTGAAAGAGAAAAGTGCTCTCTTCTCTATTCATAAAAAAACATTTGGTTTAATTAAAAGTTACAGAAATAGAGATGACGAGAATAAGATAGAAGACTTAAAATTCTTGAGTCATTGTCTGACAATGACTCAATAGATTTTGTTAAAATGCTCACAAGCCACAGAAAAAACCAATAAAAATCTTAAAGAAGATCCAAAGGCATGAAGATAAAAATGTTCCTTATGGAGACAATCGAACTAAATGCGGTAAACTTTATTTACCTCCAGCAACAGTGACGTTTGACGTTTAAATTTTTAAACGTCAAAGTTTGCGTTCAGTTAAGTATAGAAGACATTCTTCACAACTGGACTTCAACTGATTTTGGACCGAGAAACTTCCATATTTTTACATGATTTAATGCATTTTTTTTTCAAAGCAGATGTTCTTTCTTGGAAATCTCTATTAATAAGAACAAAAGACTGTTTATTGACAAAGTTTTCAAGTTTTGACGTATGAATGATTTAAATCTTTTTTCAGGCTTATTACCAGGCTTATTATCTCTTAACTTTGGCATATAATAAGAAAATACCTTATTCAGCATGTTGGTTTTAACTTCAGATGGTTTAATGTTTTTTAATTAAAAGTTTTGGAACTAGCAGGATGGTACATTTGAGTCATTAAAATAACCAATAAGTCAATACTATCAGTCATAAACCTTGCTTTATGATGAGCTCCAGGCTATTCAAATTAAAAGTTTGAAAACTTACCCACAAATATATATTGCCCCAAAAAAAAGCTTACAAAAATAATTATAATCACCTCTCTGAAAAGTATGATAGTTGTGACACGGAACTTATAACAATATAAGTGATGAAGATCTGGGATACAGAATATTTTAGTATTCGAGGCAATTTTAAAAAGTAATGAGTCTGGTTTAAAGGAAACTTAAGACCGGTCAAAATATTCAATTTGTTTATGTTTTTCTACATCATAAATCTATTACCATAGTTTTTGGAGAATTACACAAAGCTTCTTTCTAGGACTACCTTTTGGACCGAAATTTCTTTTTTCACATGAGGCTTTCATAGATGTGATGTCTGCACGTTTACCAATGAGCCGGTCTACCTAGGGCATAAAAAATAATAACGCTTACTGTACTTTCATTTTTCCTTGTTTGACTAATTTTTGTGTCAGAAAACTTTCAAAGAATCTGATAAGATATTTTAAAGTATTCAAGGGTTGTTTGAATGGTAATAACTTGATCACTTTCCTAAGAGCTGAATGCCAAGAATTTAGCTTTGCAAACCAGACTCTAGCGATGATGCATTAATCGTAATTCTATCATAATTTTGAGATTTTCCTTATTTCCAATTGTATATTTTCAAAATCTTTATGTCAAATTTGAATTTTTGGACAAAAACTTTGCCAAACGCAGTATTTTGCATATTAAAATTCATTGTATGATATATTTTTGAAACACTCTAATGTAAGCCTATCTAAAGTGTCGCCAAATATACTCATCTAAAAGATTTACTATAAATGGTCTGTAATTTGAAAGAACAGGTGAGGTATTAAACTTCTGGGTAAAACAACAAAACGAAATAAATATTGGGTCTGATAAAAAGATCATTTTCATCTTGTCCAAACACAATTTAAAAAATGATTTTAAGTTCTAATCTGCCCCCGTTTAGAATATTGTGGATCAATTTGTACCCCACAGCTTCTCAAAGATAAATGTTAAATGGAAAACCTTTTAAGAAGATCTTTTAAACGAATTAGAGGCTTAATCAATTTTCCGTATGAATGTTGTCGGGGTGTACTACCTTCCCAAAGTTGCCGTATAAGTATTTGAGTTGGCACAGTGAGGAAGTTTTGAACTATAGTTGGCGAATTGCAAATATTGAGGACCTTTTTTTTTGATGTGTCTAGTTGGCAAAAAAATACATCACCCCCCCCCCCCCCTCCCTTCCTGAAATTGTTAAATTTTTATATAACCAAGTATATATGAATAAAATAAAAAAATTATTTAACTTAAATTATTTTAGTTAAAGACTTCTTAAATTAATTTAATTTAATTGATACCTTTTCTTTAATTTAAAATTTTTAATTTATTTAATTTAGATTAACTTAATTTAAATTAATTTGACTTAATTGAATTTAAATTAAATTAATTTAGTTTAAATTAAACTAATTTAAATTTATAAATAAACTAAACTAATTTAAATTAAATCAATTTAAAAAAAACAAATTAAAACCTTAAAATAAATAAAAAAAGTATCAATTTGATCAATCTAATATTTTTTCATGCTCAGGGCCGTCCCGAAAGGGTCTTCCATGTGGGAGGAAGGGCGAAGTGTATGTACTTTTTTGGCAACTTGAGACACCAAAAAAAAAAAAAAAAAAAAGGTTGTCAATATTTGCAATTTGTCAACTATAGTTCAAAAATTACTCAACGCGCTAACTCAAATGCTTATATGACAGATTTGAAGGAAGGGTGGGGGGAAACCCGACACCCCCGTTCGGGAAGATTCTGGTTATGCTCCATTTGTTATAGAATCTAATCTAATGTACTAAATAAATAAATAACTATAGAAAACTGGTTATATATATATATAATAAATATATAAATAACTTATATATATAATATATTTAATATTATATATATATAATATATATAATATATATATATAAATAACTATATATATATATATATATATATATATATATATATATATATATATATATATATATATATATATATATATAATATATATACAAATATATATAATATATATATAAATAACTATAGAAAACTGGTTACTTCTTCTAAGAAAGAACTTGCAAAAAAAAAGTATTGAAGCTGTAATTTTTGCTCACAAAATATGTTTTGAGCCTTTCTATTCAATTCGGCATTTTCAAGGTCTGTAGTAAAAATACCCCTACTTGATTTTTAGAAGTATTATTTAATGTATTGCACATGATGTGCTATAAAACATTATGTACACTAGATTATCAACTTCTTTTTATTAATCTGTTATACAATAACCAGTTTTGACTATAAAAATAATTTCACTGAACACGCAGTTCCAATTTCTACAAAAAACCAATATCAATATGTATTTAGTGTTTCCAATTTCACCATTTCCTATTAAAAGCACTCGATACTGTAAAGTTAAAAAGAAATTATATAATGAATTTTTTTGTTTTTTGTTCTTGACAAAAATATCACATAGAAACAAAAATATAGATAGAAATGCTTGCTTCATACGTCTCAAGAATGCCCAGATGTCCGACGCATGCCCACTGAGAATTGGTTACGTCTTTAAAAGCTACTTTTCTTATGTTAAGGTGAGTTTTTACTCATCCGTTTTTCTATGGAAATAAAAAAGAAAATGAGTGATTATCTCGAGAGCATGCGTAATATAAGTTTTAATTTATGCAAAGAAAAATTACGCTTGCTCACGTGATTATTTTTCCTTTAACTATCCTGTTCCGGTAAAAAAAGATTAAGTGGAAACTTCCCTTTACATGTAGCTGATTACTCTTTTGAAAACCAATCGGCTTATAATTGTGATTTAAGACTCAGAACTATGACCATTATTGCAACGATATTGGAATGCGTAATTCATAAATTGTCGTTAAGCTCCGTTACGTCTCAACTGGTTACACCTTTAAAAGGTATTCCAATTTTTTTTACGTTACGTCTCAACTGATTACTTAAATGTGATCCTTATGCGTCGTCTAGGGGCTCGTCCGCACGCGTCGTCTGCAGGAAGTCTAACGAACGTCCTCCGGACGACGCGGGCCAACTGGGTGCGGCGGAGACTTTCTTGGTTTGAGATCAAAATGTCAAGCAGACTCTTGCATATAACTGTCACAAACATGTTACCTTGTTTAATTTTGTGAATTATTATATTCATTCGAAATTATTTTTTGTTGAAATGAAATTTCTTCATATTTATCAGTCTAACGTGTTTAATATTTTATACTTTATATGTATGGAAAAATGACTTTACCCATTCTTAAAGATCTTACTTTGTAAAACCATAATATAAACTGAAAAATTTCATTCTCTATTTAGATGATATAATCAGGTACATTTATTAGTAAAGTGCACAGCATCATAAATTCACATATTAAACAAAATTGAAATTATTTTGTTTATCTAGTTAATTATAATGTTACCGTTCCGAATCTGTTTCTAATAAAAAATTCTGACACGTGGTTCGATTTATAAATGATCCAAAAGAAAATTTTTATTTCTTATTTTATGGCCTAAAACCTGTAAATCTGAATTAGAGGCTATTCATAAAGGACGTCATCATTTTTTAGCCAACTTTTTACCCCTCTCCCCCCCCCCTTTGTCACCGGTTTTCCTTTTTCCCTATACCCCCTTAAAAGAACGTCATAAAATCCTGACCCCCTCCCCTATTTTTAACCTTAAAAAAATTTATTTCATCTCGCAATGATGTTTGAATCTGCTGCTACACCTTTGAAAAATAAAATTAAAAATATTCTCATACATTATCTTCTTAAAAACACATGTTTACGTAGTTTTCCATTTTAATTAAACTAAAATAAAAAATCTATAAAATGAAGTCCTTTTTTGACAACCTCCCCTCCCCCTCCCCTTTTCCTTTTTGTCCTTTTTAACTCGACCCCTCTTCCCCCCCTCCATCCTCCTATTTGGATGACGTCATTTATGGATGGTTCCTTAGTAATAAAAAAAAAAATTGCGATTAAATTTTTTTAAATTTAATTATGTTTTCTTTTAAAAATTACTTTACCAAAACATTATTTTTAATTTCTATACATTTTTTTAAGAAATAAAAGAAAAAGTAGTTATTTAATATATTTTTCGTCGTGGCTATCAGGAACCGCTAGAAATTTCCAAAATATCTTAAATAGGTTAAAAATGAGGGTAATTGTGCCAGTAAAAAGTATGTGAAGCTATTTTTCAACAAAATATTATAGTTTTTATTTTAAAGTCAAAAAACTGTAAAACATCATTCTTATTATAAACTTCGCTTTTAATTTAAAAATTTGTGAATTATTTGAGTACTTTAAGAATTAATTAAGAGTTTTGTTCATAGTTAATTCTGTATTTAATTTAATTGATTTATTAGATATATTAATATTCAGGCCTGAAAAAATACATCCTAAAAGCTAACGACTTATAACAAAGCCCTTACAATTTCCAAATAAACCTAAAACAACACTATTAAGCTTAAAGATCAGGTTGACGACACATTTAAATAAACACTTGTTATAATGCAAAATGCAAATTGCTAAAAATAATAAGATTATAAATATAAACTTTTTTGATCGCTATTTGAAGTGTTGTCAGCATTATAAAAAAACATCGTTTTTTTAATTTGAAGTTTCCATATATATTATATGCAAATTTCTGACTGAACTTCGTATGAATTGCTTCATTGTCAAAATAGAAGTCTTTTCCGGACGTAATGATGCTTGTTGCAGTTCGAGGAAAAAAATTCTAAATTTTTTTTTTATTAGTTTCTCACTTAAAGCTTTTTTCCATTCACAATCATTTAAAAAAAAGGTTGGATGGCACACTGTAAAATCACTTAACATTTACTGATTCCTCTTTCTTTATTAAACATTGGCCGTTAATTGGCCAAACATTATGATAAGTGTAGCTGTATACCTTCGTTAAAATATAATAATCCAAAAAGGCTTTTTAACTGTAATTATTCTAAACGTTCATCATGTAGTCCTATTAATGCAATGATCATTATCAGATGTGATATTTTCCTATATTTGGGTTCAATTTTAAGAGATTTGATTTTGACCCTTCTAAATTCTAACTCTACTGAGATATAGCGTAATAATGAAGTTAGTAGATTTTAGAATTGATATTCTCGTCGACAATTCAACCACACATACAAAAGCGTTATTAAATGTAAAATGCGCTTTAAATCTTAAAATTATTCGGTGATTTATTTGAGTACTTTAAAACTTTAAGCGTTGTTTAGACTAAAAAACTGTAAAATGATGTTTTCTGTAAAATGATGTTTACAAAACTTCAATATGTTGTTAAAAAATTGCTTCATATCTATTTTATTGGCACAATTACCCTCATTTTTAACCTATTTTAGATATTTTTTAAAATTTCTAGCGGTCCCTAACAATCACGAGGAAAAGTATATCAAATTATTACTTTTTTTCTGTTACTTTTTCTTATAATTATTTAAAAAATGCATGCTTTTTTTTCCCCTATAATGCAACTCCTAAAAAACAAATAGAAAACAAAAGAAAAACAGAAAAAATTTAATAAGTGATACGTTTTTTTTGGAAAAAAGATTTTTTATAGGTTCCTTTTTGGGCTCTTTATAAACTGAACCACGTGTCAGAATTTTTTATTATCAACAGATTCGGAACGACAACATTATAATTAACTAGAAAAACAAAAAAAATTCAATTTTGTTCAATATGTGAATTTATGATGCTGTGCACACTAACTATGTCGTTCTTTTGTTTAAAACTTTCAAATTGTAAAATACATTGTATACAACGCTCTATTACATCAGCTTATCTGTTTTATACAGTTATTACACTTTTAAAAGGTTCTGATGATGAAATGAACAAACTTTTTTCAAAAATCTTGGTTTAAATTGCTATAGTAATTAATCTACTATAAAAAGAACGAAAAAACAATTACTAAAGCATTAAGTAGTAAAGTTAAAAAAATTCAAAATAATTCCAGTTAAATCCAAAATAATTGAATTAAATAAGAAGAAACTATAAAAAAAAAACTCACCTAAATGTAGCGTTTAATACAGGAACATTGTTCAAGAAGGTAAAAATCATAAGCAAAAATGCGCACACAGCAAACAGAGGAAATAGCTTACAGCTTGGTGTACATCTACTTTCAATAACTTTTGTGACGTTAGGTGGCAAGCAGGTGCAGTTGTGGTACATCTATACAAATTATCAACTAATTGCATGCATTAAAAAAAAACATACTATAAAATTAGAATCAATAAAATAAACAAAATAAAGAAACAACATACTCCATCTAAAAAATTTATTTTAGAGCAACCAGCATAACACGGTGAATAAAAAGTCTGCTGATCTTCAACTGAACAAACAGGCTTGTATTTTTTATTACAATTACAATCAATATTGCATTGATTTTCCAATGAGACTGAAACCATACTAAATTACAAAGAACAATAATTAATATAATTATCCAAGATTTTTTTTAAGGTCAGAAGTTTTCAAATTTTATATTTTCAAATTTTAATTATTTTGTATAAATAGGTATACACATTATACATACATACATACACATACATACATACATACATACATACATACATACATACATACATACATACATACATACATACATACATACATACATACATACATACATACATACATACATACATACATACATACATACATACATACATTCATACATACATGCATTCACACATACATACATGCATACATACATTCATACACAGGGCCGTACCGAAGGATGGGGTGTCGGGGGTGTCCCACTCCCTCAAAGCTGTCATATAAGCATTTGAGTTGGAACATTGATCAAGCTTCACAATTGGCAGATCAACAGTCTATTATCATCTTGCACTAAAGAAACCTCACACAATAGATAGCAAAAAGCATGTCACTGCTGTTCTTGTAAAACTTATCATGGCATCGTCATCAAGATAGGCAAAGATTCTCATAAAAATCATCTAAAATTTTGTTTTGCTTCGATAATTTGAGAGAATTTGAAGAAAATGCCTGCATTCTTGGGATATGTCTTATTAATTCAAGATGACAAAGTACTCTTTACGCTCGCTTTATCATGAATATGGAATGTAAAGTAAGATTACCAAAATACAATTTTGTTATCTTAGTCCATCAGTCTATGCTGAGCTGAAAAGTGATAAAGATAAATTTGGAAAACAAGAATTTATAAGCTACTCAGGTCCTACTTATAGAGCAGATAAGGTCTTACATAATATTCCGTTAAAAAGCGGGTTGACTACCGTTGATTTTATAGTAGTATAGGCTATACTTTAATAAGATCAACGGTAGCCTGCTTTATCACCAAAGCAAAGGTTTTTATGAATAAACCTATTCTGTACTTAAAGTAATTAATTATCATTTTTTTTTTAACGATTAGCGATTTGTGAATGCCATTTGATGTTTTTGAAGGACTGTTTGAAAATTTTAAATGAAATTTTTGAATGAAAAATGAAATTTTAAATGAAAAATTTTAAATGAAATTTTTATGAAGTGTTTATTGCTTATACTCGGTGAAATAAATGAAATAAACTTTACGTTTTTCAAAAAAAAGTACTTAATTTTGGTATTTTGGCAAACATAACGTCATTTTTTGGCTATTATAAGAGTTTTTTTGGTTACACAGGAAATGTATGCATTTTAACTAATTTTTAAAAAACGCAGTGTTTCGCAAAAAATGCTACCGACGGGTACCTGGGTACTCGCCCGTAGGTTATTGCCTTGGTAACATTTTTAAATGATAGGTAACCGTCATTTTGTAAGTTTAATTTTTTTTTCTGAAATCTTTTAAAACCTAAAATATGGAAGATATAGTTATGCTATTTATGCACACAGGAAAATATGCATATATGCAACTTCAATACCATCAGAATACACCTCTTGACTGCTATGTAGTCAATTGACGGCGTCCATCTTTAGCACCCGATTCAGAGGAGACGCTAGTATTTTATAACTGTAATTGGGACTTTTGTAACTCGGACGCTTAAAGTAAAATAAAATTAAAAAAAGGTTTATAAATAAATGAAATCATTGAAATAAAAGTTTTTATTGCCTGTATATAAGAACAAATTAAATTTTTTTTTTAACTGGTACGCGGATGCTCGCCCGTTCGTTCAACTAGTACCCGTACATGTATTTTCATAATTTTTGAGGCCTAACTAAGATACTAACAACTTTTTGATTAATTTTTTATCAGTTGACGTTTTTTCAAATTTTTGTAAAATGAGGCTCGATGATAAGACAGCGTGAATTATTTTTACCCTCAATTTTTTTTTGATCATTGTAAAAAATGTTATGCTTATTAATACATTCATAATGCATCATTGCATCCAAAATGACTGAATTGAGCAGAAAGACATTTTTTTAAATCTATTTTTATGAACTGTAAAATTCAATGCTATTTGAAGTTAATTATAATGAGCATAATTATACATATGTATGTATGTATACACACGTTAATTATACATATGTATGTATGCATACACACTTATCTATGTCTCTTAAATAATAAAACTGTTATAAACGAGTAAAAAATACTAATTTAAAGTTTCTGTAGCTTTTTGTAAAAAGTATAATATATCTATGTTAATTAAAAAATGAAATAAAAATAAAACTAGGAATGAAGATGAAAAGTGCCTGCATTGTAATATTCATTACCAGTTGATGAATGGGTTTATGGTCAATTATGTGAAAAGTGAACACATTATCTTCCCTATAATAAAAGGATACTTGTGATACTAGGGTAAGTCAACGTTTTTTTTTTTATCAGTTTCAAAAACGGGGAGAATAATTTTGATGAATAATTTTATAGGGATTTCGAATTTGCAAAAACCATTTTAAAAATCTGTAACTTTTAAATGATGTCTTGCTGAGTCAGCGTTGTTTTGAACGGTAAGAATGGCTAAAATACAACTAATTAACGGGGAAAAATTGTGATTAAAAAAAAGCAACAATATTTTTTGTAAGTTTTTTAATGACCTCAGTAATTCTCAAGTTTAATTTTATAAAAATCTTATATTTGGTCAAAAATGACATGAAAATGACGACATTAAGTAAGTTTTTGTGAGCTTTTAGAAAAATTAAGGAAATAGAATTTAAGAAAAATTAAGGATTTTTCATATTTTCGACAAAGAATGTGCGTCATATTTCTCTTCTAAAATATGAAATAAATGTCAAAACCTCCTTTTATTTTAATTTATTTTTTACCAAATATGAAGTTTTTTTAAAATTCAATATAATAATTGTTAAGTTTAACAAGAATTTTTTTTAAGAAGTTTTAAAAAAAAAATTTAATTTACCGTTCAAAACTTGACTTCTCAGCAAGACATCTTTTTTAATGATGTTTTAAGTAACGCAGATGCACTTTGGTGTTTTAAGTTTTATTAATATATATTTGTACGGATGCTTTTTAGTTTTCTTAACATAAATAATAATTAAAACTTTTAAACTGAACTTTTAGTTTATTTATATTAGGATTAAAAAAAATTGATCTGAAAACAACAAACTGGAATAATTTAATCTTAATAATTATAATTATTTTATATATATAATGTTATAGATAATTATCTATAACATTATATATAAAAAATAACCAACAATCTGTAATATTATATATAAAAAATAACCAATAATCTTTAATATTATATATAAAAAATAACTAATAAAAATAAAAGTAATGAACAGATTTTTTTTTTTGTTTTTACCTGTTGTAATATGGAATTTCAACACCCACTACTTCACGCCCGTTGCAGCCAATAAAAACAGTAGCTGTAAGTGCGGTTGCAACTAATGCAATAATAGCAGAATACTTTAAGGTTGATTGACAGCTCCAATTGTAACGTTTGCTAAGGTATCCTCCAAGAACAATTCCGCCAGCAGCTCCTATTTTAATTAAACTAAATATTAACTCTCCATAGTTAAACACAACTATTCCTACTTGCGCTAGAATAATACACATAAGGAACTTAAGTCAAACTAAAAGTTCTTAAAAACGAAATTGTATATAAAAAATTGGATATGATTAAGGGCGTTTCAAACTTTAAAACACTACTTTGATGAAACTTAAAATATATTTTTGTTAAATTAATGTAGTTATCAAACTTTTAAATTTTCACGCCTGATAAAATCATTTATATTGTCGGTGTCGAAACAGAACTAAATATTGTTTTGTAAAAATGAGATCTAGATTTGGAATATTTATTTGTCTGGTTTTATAGAAATTTCTTTTTTTTATTAAATCCGTATAATTTGCAACAGCAAATTTATATTGTTTATTAAAAATTAACAAAACCATTTATATAAATATTATTTAAAAAAAAAAACGCAAAAAGAATCGGTCTGTTCTGCATAAACAGTATGTTTCATTCAATAATGAAAAAACTAACAGTTAGACAATTAAATGTGGTGTATAAATGTGGTGTTTGACAATTAAATGTGGTGTAGGAACTATATAAGGATCACTTTTATTTTTAGTGTAAGTTAACAATTTAAGCAATGCTTCTAATATTCTAGATTCTACTTTATTAGATGATATACATTTATTTTCTTCACATTGTTCATTAACTACGTCAATAAAATAGGGGAAAGGAATCTAAAAATTTTCGACTCAGGGGAGGGGGGAAGTCAAGGCAAATTGACGTCAAAAATATTTCTTTTTTAATTACTTAGAAAAAGAAAAATTAAACAACGTTTGCGTTTTTTTGATACACACTCGCTCAACCTTTAGTGATTTAACAAGTCCATTTATATTTCTACTTTTTAAAAACCTTTTTGTGCTTTAAAAAGATCCGACACATACTATACATACAGACACATACTATATATACCCGAGACATACTATATATACCCGACACATACTATATACACATACATACAGAACTAAATAAGCGCACACAAGATGTTTACTCATAACACTATTATTTTTTCAAATTTGTTGTTGGTTAGTCTGCTGTGCAAACAAAAAGGTTTATGCAAGTACATAGTCTACATTATATTATACAAATGTTTATACCAGGGTTCGGCAACCTGCAGCTCGCAAGTTTCATGTGGTTTTTGCAGTGTCAGGCTTGCGGCTTTTTAGCTCCATTCACAAATATTAGTAAGTATTGAAATAAAGATGCAGGTAGCTCTTTAAAAACTGAAATATCATGTAAATTGTAACTTTTGGCTTTTCCGTCTCAAAAGGTTGCCGACTCCTGATTTACACAATTTGTTAAATGCAATTTGTTATACTAAATTCTATGATAAATAATTGGCTTTCACTGTGAAATTAGATTAGGTCTATAATTAAAGTGAGGAGGATTGGCACATTTACGCATTGTGACTCTGCATTGTACATAAATTATGCATTGTGACTCTACATTGTACATAAATTATGATAAATGCTTAACACTATTATCGCAATTGATTCGTTCAAGATATAAAGCAAAATGATAAAAATTACAAAAATTAAAATAAAAAAACAACAACAACAACAAAAATACAACAATAATTTATCTATCTTGAAGGTAATTGATTATTTAACAATTATCTGAAAATAAAATCAAGGAAAAATAAAAACATAAACAACAAAATAATAAACTAACAAAAAAACTTGATTTTATAGGTGAGGAGGGGGGGAGGAGGGGAGGTAATTGAGTATTGACGTAATTTTATAGGAAAGGTCTCCCCATAGTGATATGAAACATTGTTTAAAACGGTCAACATTGAACTTCTAAAATTAACTAAATGGTTAAATGTAAATAAACTGTCTATTAATTTAACTAAAACAAGGTATACTTTTTTTATCGTCTTCATAAAAGAAATAAAAATCCTTATAACACTCCCAAAACTTCTATTCAGTGATCGCATCGTAAAAAGAGAATGCTCAATAAAATTTTTAGGTGTAATACTTGATGAAAGCATAACTTGGAAAGATCAAATAAGCATGATTGAAAATAAAATTTCTAAAAATATTGGTTAACTCTATAAAGCGAAATCTCTCTTAGATCACTTTGCTTAAAATACATTTATTCATACCTACTTTAATTATGCAAGTATTGCGTGGTGCAGGACCAATATAACTAAGACAAAAAAACTATTCAATAAACAAAAACATGCAATTAGACTATTATCAAATGTACACCGTCTCTCACATTCAAAACCTTTGTTTAACAAACTAAATATAGTAAATTTTTTACCAAATAAACTTATATGAATTTATAATTTTTATGTTTAAAATTAATAAAAATAAAATATCAATAACATTTAAACCATCATTTAATAAAAATTAAATATAAGTTAAAGTTAAATCAAGTATTCGAGTAGTAATTATGTTTGACCCAAAACTATATATGGTTCATCAAAATTCTCAACAACTATCAGAGGACCTAAAGTATAGAATAAGATGAACAGTAATGATAGTAAAGTATGGAATAAGATGAGATATATATATATATATCTCATCTTATTCCATACTTTACTATCATTACTGTTCATCTAAAGTATGGAATAAGATATATATATATATATATATATATATATATATATATATATATATATATACATATATATATATATATATATATATATATATATATATATATATATATATATATATATATATATATATATATATATATGTATATATTTTCATTATATTTGCTTTAAAATAACTTTTAAAGTCTTCAATATTCATAGAATATTCTATTTATTTGCATTTTATTCCGTCTTATAAAAATATATATTTAAAAAAGTTAGCTTTTTACATTTTCTTTACTTAAAAATGAAAATGTTTATAAAAAAAATTACTTTTAAGTTAGTGAATTTTCATACTTTGATGCAGAAATAGTTTTTTTTGAAAAGAATGCGACGAAATTTTACGTTGCGTGTACTCAAATTCTTTTAAAATTAGTTAAGATGTTGACACAGTGAGGTCTTCAATTTTCTGAAAAGTTAATAATTATTTCTAAAATTATTAACTAAATAATGATAATTTATAATAATAATTTAATATGAAAGCAATTATTTATATTTTTATTTTATTTAATTTTATTTTTCAATTTAGTCAATAATTATCGTATAAAGATTTCAACTAAAAGATAATTTTCTTGTATGTTAACTTCAAATAAATTAAATTGAATCATCTATCAATCTCATAAACACAAAAATATCAACTTTAAAAAGTTGAAAGTAAGGCAATATTTTATTTAACAGTTTTAACATTTTTGAAAAAACATCAAAATAAAATATTAAATTATATGGTTTGCTATAAAAAAAATTATAATAATAATTAAAATAATGATAATAAAGAAAGGGTTAAATAAAAAAAGCTTCTTTTTTTTTTGACTCCTTTTTTGTTTGGTCATAATAGTAAATACTACATAATTTATCTACAAACAACCAAATAACTTTTTAAATCTTAAAATATCTTATAAAACTATTTGTTCTAAACATTTAAATAGTTTGAAATTTATTTTTTAATCATGTCACTTAGATTTTTCGTGAAAAGTTTTTCACAATAAATTGCTACGCATCGTATTCTATACAAAAATAATTTAAAAAATAAATTAAAAAATTAAATACAAAAATAATTTAAAAAATTACCGGGAATAGCAATTATGCCAGTATACAAAGATGATTGTGAAGCTGGTAGAAAAAATTGAGTTTCTATAAATTTTGGTAAAAAAGTTGCAAAACCACCTGTAGCTAAACTTTCTGATGCTGTGGCTAATGTTATGAACAAAAAAGATTTGTTTTTTAACAAGTTTTTCATTGAAGGCCATATAGATTTTAAATCATGACGCAATCTTTGATCTTCTTCTGTTGTATCTTCTAACTCGTTTTTCTTTTTGCGAATTTCTTTAGAGTCTGAGAAAATTCGAGGAAATCCAAGCATAGGAATAATAGGGATTAAAAGGATGCCAGCTCCTATTAAAAAGCCAATCCACCATGCTCCAACCCAGTTCCCATCATGCGTCGTTAAGGCTGAGTTAGTTGGCTAAACAAAAGAAAATTGCTCTATTGTACGTTTCTAATACTTGCTGCAGCCAGTCTAAAAACGAATTATAAAAATCAATAACTTTTTTTAAGAATAAAACTAAAATAAAAATCGCGTCTAAATTCTGAAATTTTTCTCATATAACGGTTACTAAGCCTCAAAACTTTTTTGTCGAGTTACTACAGAGCGTTCTCATAAGAAGTAACCAACATTTTTTTTAAAGAAATGACCACGGAAGTAAATTTGCAGCTGTTAAAAAGGTGACGAATTTATGATTTATGCATTTGAAAAAATTCCATGACGCAAAAAACTTTAACAAATCTATCATTGAAAAAATGTTCGTATTAAACTGTTGTAGTTATATCATTTTGTATGGACTTTTTTGATATAATTTTCATATACTTTTAAATAAAATTAATCCTAAACAAAAATAGTCAAATGCAATTCTAAGTTAAAAATGGTAGCTCCTTGGATGTCACAAAGTCTTCCTTACGAGGAGCATAACCATTTTTCTTGTAACTGTTGTTAAAATTATTTAAAAATTTTTAAATAATAGGTGAATGCTTATACATTTTTAATATTTTATTTTTTAGGAAATCTTTTGTACGGTTTTGCCCCACTTTGACACACAATCCAATGACGAAAAAAACGCGCAATCTAAGACATACAACATATATGGCCATAGTAACTATCAAATTTAAATAAAAAAGGTTTCCGCTTTGTAGTGCAAAAATGATAATATTTTTTAGCAAATGTTTTTTCTAAATCATACTTACGTTTACCTTTACAATGAGTTATTACGATATTTAACAATGCGAATTATATATATAGCCCACGGTCGTTTAGACTTTTTAAATAAGTGGAAAGTTATTATACGCAAGTGCAGTAAAGTTTGGATATTTCCAAACTTTACTGCACTGATATAAGAGTTTTAAAAATCGCTAATGAGACCAAATATAAAAAATTTCACATTGACTAAGAGCTGCTTTTTCTAATTTTTGGCCATTAAATATGCATTTAGCCGTTTATTAAAAGGAAATTATTATAAAAGTAACTTCTGGTACATTATACAATCATTCAAATAAAATAAAAAACCTCTCAAAATGAATAAAATGTGATTTCAGCAATAGCTACTTTAGTGTGTTTTGTTTATTGATTTCAAAACCTTTTTAAAAAATTTTTGAGCGTAGAAATTTTTTTTTTTCACTTTTTCAGATAGATGTACCTTTTACCTTTTTTGGAATATTTACTAATATTAGTATTCAACTTTTTTTCAAGATTAAAAGATGTTTTTTAAACATTGACTTTTTGTAATCTGTTGCTAGGCTACTCTAAAGTCACATTACATAATTACATTAATGTGATATGAGTTATGGCCAATGGTATATATATATGTATATATATATATATATATATATATATGTATATATATATATATATATATATATGTATATATATATATATATATATATATATATATATATATATACATATATATATATATATATATATATATATATATATATATATATATATATATATATATATATATATATATATATATATATATATATATATATATATATATATATATATATATATATATATATATATATATATATATATATATATATATATTGTAATATATTACATAGTATACTATGCTTGGACATGTATTATTATTTTTCAGAGTTTAATTTGTATGCATTAAATGTGTGTGGATACAATTGTTGTAATTGTGTTGTAATACAATGTATTTAGTATGCACACAAATTTATTGCATACAAATTGTATATAATATATGTATATAATATATGGTTAAATGATTATAATATATTATTATAATCACAATATATAATAGCTTGTATAATAATTACAATGCAATATATTGTAATATATTATATTAGCTATATTATATAGTTTATATTATCCATATTATAAAAACAAATATAAATTAAATGTAAACAAATCATATAGTATATAAACTATGTAGCATAGTAAATTTATATACAAATATTTAATGTTACATAGTTTATAAGTAACTTGTGGACTTCGTAGCTAATTATATGCATTATAATCATTCACATAGAATTATATATGTATTTTTAGCTATATACATGCAGGGGCGGATCCAGGGTGTCGCGAATGATGCGCATGCATCAGTCTTTTTTCAATGCTAAATTTAAGTGTATCTCTTTTTCACTTTTTTTTCTTAATAAAAAGTAAAAGTAGAAATTGGAATCTGGTATTCTCAAAAAATAAAATACTTGTTTGAAACTCGAAAAAAATTCATTTAATTTTATCTCTATAGTTACTTATTCGTTACTTATACAAAATTCCTGCGTTTTGGAGCAACTGATACAATTGTTCTTCACTAAATACAAATGTGATTGGTTAAAAAAAAAAAGTACGTTTTAACCAATCATATTTGTACTTTTTCACAAATTTTTCCGATCACTTTGTAGCAACTGATGCAATTGTACTCTAAATCATTAATGATTGGTTAAAAAACAGTTTAAACCAATCACTATTTAATAAAATAACAATTGCATCAGTTGCTACAAAACTTCCGCAAAAAACTTTACAAAAAAGATAAGAAATGTTATTTATAACCAATCAAATTTGTAGAAAGTTTAGAACAATTGCATCAGTTGCTCCAAATCGTTCAAATTTGACAAAATTCTGATACGCCACCTGATAAACGTTCTTCGCTTGTAATTTTCGTCATTAGGACTTAGTTTGTAAACTAAAGTTTAAAAAAAAAATGAATTGTTTAGTCTCAAATGCAATTAAGGCTAGACACTTGCCAAATATTCGCAAATATAAAAACCAGTTGACTGAAGAATTGAAAGTTTTAAATAATATTATTATTTGAACTGAACTGAACTGAAGCTGAACTGGACTCTTATTATTAATAAGAGTCCAGTTCAGCCACATAGTCAGTCTTCTGAAAATACTGAAATGGATCGTTTTATCCCAAAGCAAGAAGATACTAAAGATTATGTTGCTTTAAGGTAAAACCCTATTATTAAAGTTAATGGTATTTTATATTTCCAGCTAGTATTTAATATAAACTGAGCTTGTTTTAGTATACTTTTTATTTTATTTAAGGTCATCTGAAGATGGAAATTGCCTCTACAGTTCAGCTTCTCTTTTAAGCAATTCGTCTCTGAAGACAGTTAATGTATTGAGGCTTCTAACTTTGATTGAATTGTTTGAAAAAGCTTCCTACTATGCGAGGTACTCCCTTTTTGTTAAGCAGGTTGAAAACAATAATTCTAATCTTTCCAGTGTTCTAGTAGCCTGTGTTTCTTTTGAATGTTCAGATCAATTTAAATTAATTAACAGTGAATCAGCTTCTGAAATTATAATAATGGAAGCATTGATCAACTGCCAAGCTAACAAGTTTTCTTCGTTTTTATGTCTAATTGCTTTGTCATCAGTTTTAAATATTCCTATTAGATCAATTTATCCTGATTTTGGCTTAGAAAAATTCAAAAAACTTTTTAATGCAATTATTTTTCCATTTCGTTCAATTAAAAATCAAGATCAAAATGTTTTGAATATTTTATGGTGTAATACTGATATTATGTCAGTGATGCAAAATAATAATAACTGGACACCGAACCATTTTGTACCAATTATTATAAGCCTAAACTAATTTCTAGCATTAATTAGATTTTGGCTATAAAAAACGATGCTACTTATTCTTTACACTTTTTTAGTCCTAAAACTGAAACAAATAAAAAAAACAACTTGATTCTGCAAAACATGTCAAAATTCAATCTAAAATTAACTTTAAAAAAGACAATGCTTTCATAGAGTTGCCTTTTGAACCTTTTGTAGATTCAAAAATAGTTAAGTCATTAGACTCCAACTCAGTTATTATTCCTTCATATAATGAATTAAATTCTTTGTATGACGTTTCAACATATCTTGTTTGAGGTAAACTTTTAATCGCTGGCAAAGATGATTCTTTTTTGTTAGATATGATAAACAAAGTATTTTGTCCTAATTCTATGTTTGTTTTTCCAATATCTTTTAATACAAAAAGATCATTTAAATTTGAATGGCTCAGCCAGTTTTCTTGGTTAGCTTATTCTAGCAAAGAAGATGGAGCTTACTGTCTTGCTAGGTGCTAGTATTCCAAATAAGTCTGGAATATTAAATTTAGTTTTCAAGCCCCATCAAGAGTGGGGTAATGCTGTTCGTGATTATAGAAAACATGTGGAAAATTGTGTTTTACATAAAAAAAATCTATGCTTTCATTTAATGCATTGCTTTCACGTTGCAATTCCAAAAGTAATGTTATTGAGGTTGATTTAAATAATTCTTGTTTGAAACTTCTTTCTGATAACCGAAAAAAATTAGTTCCAATAATTAAAACAATATTTCTTGGTAGAAACGATCTAGCATTTCGTGGATATCGTGATGATAGCAAATATCATCTTGATATTGGGGAATCTTCTACACAAAAAGTAGGAGTTGGTAACTTCATAGAGCTTTTAAATTTTCGTGTTGATGCTGGTGATCAAATATTATCTAATCATCTTTCTTCAAGTCCAAAAAATGCAACCTATATATCAAAAACTACCCAAAACCAACTTATTGATTCTTGTGGGAAAGCAATTAAGGAAGTTTTAATAAAAAATGTCAAGCATTCAATTTTTTTTTCAATTCTTTGTGATGAAGCAGTTGACTGTTCAAATACGGTGTCCTATGATTCAACCGAATCCCTAATTTCAATTTAGAACCGAATATGAGAAATTTATTACACAACCGAAAATATTTACAAAAAAAATTAGAACCGAAAAAATTTCAATCAAATTTTCGATCGAAAGTCATTAATGATTTTAGAACCAAAAAAATTTCGATCGAATTTTCAATCGAAAGTCATTAATGATTTTAGAGCCGAATTTCAGAGCAGAGAGAGATTTTAGAGCCGAATTTCATTAAAATGGTTTACAACCGAAAGTTACACTGTTATCAAACATTGTATATATATATATATATATATATATATATATATATATATATATATATATATATATATATATATATATATATATATATATATATATATATATATATATATATATATATATATACAATGTTTATACATATATATATATATATATATATATATATATATATATATATATATATACATACAATGTTTATACATATATATATATATATATATATATATATATATATATATATATATATATATATATGTATGTATGTATGTATGTATGTATATATATATTTTAATAGTAAAATTTTAATAATAAAAAAAAAATAGATTAAAAAAAGAAAGGATTTTGTAATTCGATCCAAATTTTTTCGGTTGTAAAATTCGGTTTAAAAACTTTTGGCGCAAGGAAGGATTTTGTAATTCGATCCTGCAATGAAATTATACTTTTCGGTTCTAAAATTTTCGGTTGTGAAATATTTCGGTGATATTTTCGAGGATAAATATTTTCGGCTCTATCATGTGACACGTTCAAATACTGAACAAATGTCACTTGTTTTAAGATATGTAAATTCAAATAATGAGATTTGCGAGGATTTCTTAAGATTTATTGATTGCAAGACTGGTACATCTGGTCTTAGTCTATCTCTAAATGTACCTAATGCACTTCAAGAGTTCGGACTTGATATTCAAAATTGTAGAGGTCAAGGGTTGACCTCTACAATTGCAAGACGGTGCGGGTGGTATGGCAGGTGAGTATAAAGGAGTTGCTTCTCGAATAAAAGCTCTTAATCATAAAGCTATATTTGTTCATTGTGCAAGCAATAGATTTAGTTTAGTAGTAGCAGCTGCATGCCAAGTTCAAAAAGTAGAAAATCTTCTTGGCCAAGTAAAAGAAATTTCTTATTTCCAAATCAAGAAAAAGTAATAGATACTTGTTGAACAAGATGGGTTCAACAACTGAGAGGTGTTGATGTTTTTTTTGATAATTTTATACTTATTATTCATGCTTTAGAGGAGATGGGATTAAATGAGTCAAAGGAATATAACAGTGAAACTGCTTCCAAATCCTCTACTTTTTTAAGATTATTAACAGATTTCTCTTTTATTGTAAGTTTAGTTATTACAAAACAATTAATGGATTTTTTTTATGCAATTACTGTAACTCTTCGAACTAAATCTTTTGACATATCCCAGCAGTGTTTTGAAATAACTAATCTAAAAAATCTGTTATTAGAAATTAAAAATAAAATTGATATATATCACACTAAATGGTACGCTATCGCTCTTAGTTTAGCCAAAACTCTTGATATACAAGAAGTGAGACCTAGATTGTGTAATGTCCAGGTTTACCGGGATAATTATCCAACTAATAAAGTTTGTGACTATTTTAAACATAGCATTAGTTCTCCATTAGTTGAAAATCTTATTAATGAGCTAGATAATAGGTTTCCAGAAAATGACATGTTTGGTTATAAAGGTCTAGCAGCAGTTCCTTCAACTGTATTATCCAGAATACAAGTTAAAAAACCATGGAAATCTGATTTTTTATAAATTTTTAAATTTCTATTCATCTGATATGCCTCATTTTACTTCAATACATGCTGAGTTAGATTTATGGGAATTATTTTGGAAAAACCAGTCAAGTATTCCTTCAACTGTTGCTGGTACTTTAAAGTCCATTGACATGAGAGGTTTTCCAAATATAAGGACAGCATTTATAATTTTAGGAACAATTCCAATAACAACTTGTGAATGTGAAAGAAGTATTTCAGTTATACGTAGGCTAAAAACATACTCCAGAAGAAATATAATTGAGTCTCGCATTAACTCTTTAGCATTAATGTCCATAAATCAAGAAATTTTTCCAAATGTTGAAGTCAGGTGTAAGACGTTTAGATTTAGCTTTTATTTAGTAGTGTACTAACTTATTTTACTTTTTTCTAATTTGATTTTTACTAATATTGTGTGTGTGTGTGTGTGTGTGTGTGTGTGTGTGTGTGTGTGTGTGTGTGTGTGTGTGTGTGTGTGTGTGTGTGTATTTAAAATATAGAACTTCAATAAAAAAATATAACAAAAATTATTATAACAAAAAACATTTTAAAATTAAAAAAAAAAAGAATCCAGATATGGAGGGCTAACCTTAGGCAAGATTAATAATATAATATAAGATTAATAATATAAAATAAAATAAAGATAAAATCCAGAAATGGAGGACTAACCTTTATTATTATATTTCTAGTTACTTAACCTAATATTACTTAACTTTAATAAATAACCTAATATTACTTTACATGACGTGCCTCTCAAGAAAAGGAAAGAATCCATAAATAGAGGGCTAACCTTGGGCAAAATGACAGTATACAGATGAAGTGCTAAGTCCTATGGCTTACCTTCTCGTTGGTGCACTTTGTTAAGTAAATTAGGCTTAAAATTACATGTCTAATTTATGAACAAAATAGCCAAGGCAACATTTGTAAAAATTTCTGCTAAAAATGGATACTGCAAAAGAAATACAATATTTAGTTACTATTCAATAATATAAACAGCGACGCCACTCGTAAAAAAAGCTGCCTGGGGCGTGTCCGCCCCACCCTCGCTACGCCTTTTAATGTTTCTCCACTTTTTGTATTGACTATACTTAAACCCTAGAGAAGTTGCGGGGGGGGGGGGACGTCAATAAAAATATTTCGCATCACCCATTTAAAATGCTAGATCCGCCCCTGACATGAATGTAAGTGTATTATACTGTTGTGGTTTTAATGTGCGTCAATAATTTGACGTCACACGTTGCATATTTTATTATTATAACGTTTTGCATAACGAACATTAATTGTTGACAAGAGTCAAATGTTGTATTTTTAAATGCTATATATAGTGAACAATTTTTTTTTAAAACGTTGAGATTGTTGATAAGTGATAGAAACATTTAAAACAAAATGGCTTCTAAATGCGTTGAATAACAAGCTAACCGGGCGTGTCTATTATCTCCGCAATATGAAGATGGACAACCAAAGCAAAATATTCGGCAGTTGACTTTTTTTTTCGTGATGAACAATATTACTTCAGATTGACACGTAGCGTACTTGCTTGGTATTCTGCCGTCAAAGATTTACAAAACCATGGAGGAAGTAACAGCATCTGAACTGCCAGAGGAAGTTTCGTACGAAGAGTTAGTGACAAAACTGGAAACATTGGAAATTAGGAAATCATCGTTAATCTCACGGTATGAACTTGGGTAAAACTTATCGTGGCAATAAAGAATCGATACAAACGTTTGCGTATCGAGTGATCCGAGCAGCTCAAGAATGCAAGTTCTTGCCTTCAGAGGGAGACGGCCGACTTCATTATCAATGCATTTTTGGGAATAATGGTGGTGCTGTTCTGCGTGCCATTCTTCTGGGAGAAGATGCATTGAGCTTTGACAATTGTGTCAAGACTGTATCCGTGATTGTACAAACTAGATTAGATGCGGCATGCTTATCTATAAATGAAGAAGTAAATGCAAGTTACCAAACAACTGGGGCTGTAATGTCAAATGATGTATGGAGAGAGAAAGAAATGCGGTGCTTCAATTAATTATTGAATCACTTTGCATGTGAGTGTACCTCTTTATGTTCGCATTAGGCATTTCTACAAGGACTCGTCCTGAAACAATACTACCTATGATCGAGTTGATAATAAAC